CCGGCTTGTAAAGATGTACATGACTGGACTCAACGCTATCCAAGTGTAAGCGGAACACATATGTAAATACATAGTTTGTCTTTGGGCACAATCTTTCTCTACCTTAATGACATTTACACTGCCTCCACACAGATATGTGCCCTGGAACTTCCATGAAGCAGTACTGGGGCTCCACAACTTCACAGGTGACAGAGATTTGGAGCATTTTTTGGATCTGGCCAATCAGACAGGTCTCCTGGTCATCCTGCGTCCAGGACCGTACATCTGTGCAGAATGGGAGATGGTGAGAAACTTAACTTTGCTTTGTTAATGTCAGTATAATAGAGCGGAATGTTCATAACTAAGACAAATAGCAGTTAAAATTTGACATTGCAGTCTCAAAGTTTCTCATACGTTACCAAGACATCAGAACCAGAATCTCCTGCCGCTTCATATCTGCATTCCTTCAGTGATGCTGTGCATTTGATGTTGCTACTTTCAACATATACACTATCACTTTTTGAAAAATCATCATTTGCTCCTGTTGTGCAGGGTGGATTGCCAGCGTGGCTACTTCAAAAACCAAACATCATACTTCGCTCTGCTGACACGGGTACACCATGCACCTATGTTTTCTGTCTTTTTTAAGTAATATGCCACTGACTTATTTTCCTCTGTTCCAGACTATGTGCAGGCAGTCAGCAACTGGCTTTCTGTTCTCCTCCCCAAAATGAGGCCTTGGCTTTATATCAATGGTGGTAACATCATTAGTGTGCAGGTAGAGTACTTCCATAGTTTGTTATAGTTAGTATGCTAATGATAATTTGATTTATTCATCTCTCTTGATTGCAGGTGGAGAATGAATATGGAAGTTACTATGCTTGTGACTACAACTACATGCGCCACCTGCAGACTCTGTTCCGCTTCTTTCTGGGTGAAGACACGGTTCTGTTCACCACTGATGGAAACACAGACAAAGAAATGAAGTGTGGGACTCTGGACGGATTATATGCCACGATAGACTTTGGCACAGGTGCATTAAGGAGATGGCAGCATCTACTAGTTCTTAAGAAAACACAAAAAATAGCATTTTTTCCATTTCTTCCCTTATTCAGACACTAACATAACAGAAGCCTTCAACCGCCAAAGAAGGTTTGAACCTCAGGGGCCCCTGGTTAGTTACCTATGAATTCTTATAATTTTTGAATTTGCAGTAATTATTACATCAAACCAAGCATATGATAGTAAATGTTTTAAATGTTACAGGTGAACTCGGAGTTCTACACTGGCTGGCTGGACCACTGGGGAGATCAGCATGCCGTGGTTGATGCTCAGAATGTCAGCAGAGTGCTAGCAGAAATGCTGACCATGGGGGCCAACGTCAACATGTATGTCTCTTCCAAATCCTGTTTCTTCCTTTCTGCAAAAGTATGGTTCAAGGATGCAGCTGACATTGCCCTGTATTTTTCTTATTGTCAACTAATCCTATGAAAAGACCAAAACCAGCAATGTATTAGCTTTTCTTTCTGACTTTCCAGTTTCCCAAGTCCATAAATGCATTCAAAAGGCACATCTTTATAAAGGGGTCACAAATATTTTCTTGTCATTTTTGAAAGGGGCCAGTAACAAGGACTTTTTTTAAGACAGCTGGACACTGTAAGGTGTAGTAAACTGTGCCCAAACAATAGGAATTGGGGACTATTTTCAGCTGTGGATTAATACACATTGATGTGCCATAAATACTTACTGTAATTACTTGCTATAATGTCTCAAAATAAACTAAAAAACATGTTCATTGCAACGAAACGGCATCTCACTGAGTGCATTGGTGTAGTTCATCAATGGGTTTTTAACAGTTTTCAGACAACCGTGGAAATCTATGGCAATGGAATAACAGACTGCACAGACAACACTTGCCAGCAGAATCAGTTTAAAGTTGGTTGTGGTCTTTCGATGGGAGATGTTGACAATAAGAAATCACCAACTTGAGCTAAAATGGCTCCCAAGAGGTGAAAGTCATCTAACCATTAAATTAACAGGAGATTTCATTCATATAATACAATCTCTTCTTTCTCAGGTACATGTTTGAAGGAGGTACTAACTTTGGCTACTGGAATGGTAAAGTCATTTGTTTTTGTGATCACTAGTTACATGATTTAGTTGGATGTAAAAGCGCAACTTGTGGCATTCACCTCTTTGTAACTGCTTCTCTCTCAAAAGGTGCTGATCATGACACCAGGTACCTGCCAGTTGTAACCAGTTATGATTATGACGCTCCGCTCTCTGAGGCAGGAGACCCCACAGAGAAGCTGTTGGCCATCAGAGATGTCATTAAACAGGTGCCACTGATTGAACTGCCACCCAGCAAGGTTGCTGACCTGATTACACTTGTACATATGTCTGAGATATGATTAGTTAATTGCCTTTTCTCTCCAGTTTAGAGATATTCCATCTGGGCCCATGCCACCAGCAACGCCCAAGTTTGCCTATGGCTTTGTGACCCTGAGAAAGGTACACAAATACAGCATTATATCACAAAATTGTTGCTAGCAACAACAAATATGTTTGAGTAGAAAAAGTGATAGTGAGCACAAGTGTTTGACACTAATAATGCACACACCTCTACAGGCTGGTAACGTCAGCAGTCTGTTGGACATCCTCTCACCTATGGGGCCAGTCAAATCTCAGTACCCCCTGACATTTGAAATGGTGAAACAGGTATGATGTCAGTCTGAAGGCAACAACAAAGCACAGATTACTGTTGCAGTGACAACAAACCTTTTGAAACAGGGAGAGCTTCTAGACTTGTGTCTGCAACCTGTCATGTCTATTGTGTTCAGTACTATGGATATGTGCTGTATCGGACCACGCTGCCACGGGACCTCTCAGAGCCCACGCCACTTGGCTCTCCACTGAATGGAGTTCATGACCGTGCATATGTGTCCGTCAACGGGGTAAACATTAACAATGAACTTTTGTTGTCTAGCCCATCAAATTTCCAGGTCACGTATGGGAGAAAGCATCACAGGTGCTGTGTTGTGAAATTTCAAATTCTTACCGAGTTATTTTGTACTTTTTAAAATGTTTATATTCAAGGTGTGTCTGTATGAACAGGTTTTTCAGGGACTACTGGAGAGAGACACAGCACTGGTGATGAGCATCACTGGACAGCAGGGAGACACTGTGGATATCCTTGTTGAGAACATGGGCAGGGTCAACTTTGGCAGCAAGATCAATGACTTCAAGGTAATAGAACCTAGTCCAGTCCCATAGAGAGTAAATGACTTGTTTTAGCCCTTGTGTTCTGCTGACATTGTCTTTACTTCTCCAGTTTTTGGGGACACTCAGACCTAGTGGCTGTATGTGTAAACATACTACTAAGTAAGCCATATTATTTCATTTTTGACCTTCATTAAAGGCCCAATAAGTAAGAAGAGTTTTACAATCATAATCCTCCCTTTTATGTACAAATACCAGGCACATTTGAGAAAGGTCACAAAATACATAAATCGGTAAAAAGCATTATTGAACCAAATAAGGACATTACTGAAGTTTTATGTGATGTATTGGATAGGCACAAACATCATTTTTTCATTTGAAACCCTCAGACAAGATGTTATATAGTACCTACATAATAATACAACAAACCCAACTTTGTCACTGACAAACCTTTATAAAACTGCAAGATAGAAATTCACTAAGAGTATTCAATGGTACAAGTGCTTTTCCAATACACAGCTTCATTATGTTCTTTATACATGTTTTGAGCTTTTATACAGTATTCAAGCTTTTAAAGGGGGCCTTGGGTATCGATGCCAAAAAGAACAGACATAGTATAGGGCAGTAACAATTCAGACCTTAAAGCTTTATATTGAGAACATGAATAAAAATTGAGACTATTTTCTTATTTGAGCATTACCATGAGTAAAACCTACATATACAGACCAGAAATGCTAGCTGGTAAACAGTATGTGTACTGCAGGGCCTCTTGAGCAATTTGATCCTGGGTAAAGATGTACTGACTGACTGGAAGATCTACCCTTTGGACATTGATGGAGCCATTGCTGGTGGCTGGCCTCACTCAAACGATCGACAGATCTTCCCCGCCATTCTGAAAGAACCTTCTGTTGGACCAACCTTCTACATGGGGACATTACAGCCCAATGGCTTGGCGTGGGATACCTTTCTCAAGCTCAACAAATGGACAAAGGTAAAGATTTTTTCCCTAGGGATAAAAGTACTTGTATCATTTCCAATGTTAAATTTATCTTTTTTTTTTTTTTTTTTTTTTTTTAAATATCAGGGTCAGGTCTGGATTAATGGTGTGAATCTGGGACGATACTGGCCCGCCAGAGGCCCTCAGCAGACCCTTTATATTCCAGGACCCTTACTCAGCACCACCCTACCCAACAACATCACAGTGCTGGAGCTGGAGGGGGCACCAGCAGACTTACGGGTCCTCTTTATGGACCGGCCTCAGCTTGGTGTCACGGCTCAAAAGTCTTGACAGAGCACACCTGGGGGTTTTAGCTCATTTCAGCTTTATCACAAAAGCAAGAAATCATCAGAAGGTTTGACTGAGGCAAAGCTGAAATTATCCTCTGGACAATTTATGTGAGAAAACTGCTCAGTGGAACAACGGTGGCACTTTTATTCTTAATCACTTCAGATTTCAGACTTCAATGTTTCCTATGTAGCAAATTCTTTATTAGTGGCAGCCCAGTGTAAACTGCTCTAGCACAACAGCTTCACAATAAGTGATGCTTTTGTCTTAGATTTTTAATATTTACTGATGCCCGTGGAAGGACAGAGCTACATAAACGCTATTAGCTTTTTTTTTACTGTACTTGCAGGCACTGAATAATTTACACATTTATTTCATTATATTCTAAGATCATCTGCCAATGTATAATTATTTTTGAAAGAGGCTTGAAATGAAACTAGCAGATTGACCAGACATAGCCACACTAGGGTCTTAATTGGGCTGCACTTTGCTTGTACTTTTAAAGAGGTAGCTCCTTTCCAATTGCAGTTTTCCACACAGGTGTTAGGACTTGCCTGGAAGAACATTTGCTTTTCGATGTGCTTGGACACAGCGAGGGGTACAGAAGGAATACTCCAGGTAGTGAAATGGGATCTTACCAAGCAGAGACTCCCCACACATCCAGCACCTCCTGGTGATCAAGACAAACAGACACAAAAACTGTGCTGTGACAAACCCTTAACTACATTGCTAAATGTGAAGTCCTACCTAGCATTGTGACTAAGCTCAATGGGTCTCGGAGATCTTACTTGATGTTAGAGAGGCTGACTCCTGTTGCAGCGACCTGCTCTGCAAACCTTTTCTCTGCTGCCAAAGCTCTCTGTCATCAAAAAGCAAATTGTGAGCATTTCCAGAATTAAACAAATAAAAATGTCTTGAAGATCAGTGATTGAAATCACATTAAACTCACCTTTTCACGATCAGTCAGAGACGCAAACTTTTTCTTTTCCTCTGCCTCCAATTCTTGTTTCCTCTTCTCTTCCTTCTGTTCTTTTTCTCGCAGTTTTCTCAGTGCCTTTTGAGCCTTTTTCTTCTCTGTCTTTTTGGATTCAATTTCTGCCGTTAGTGGCGCAGGGACCTTGAGATACACAGGTGCAAACCATAAGTGCTGTGCTTACATTTAACGTGAAAAGTTAAGACTGTTAAAGCTTACCTGTGCCTTGACGTAGTCATATTTGTCAGGATTCTCACCCATGTATTTACGAAAGACATTCCTTGTGTCTTTGTCAGGAGCAACAATATACGGGGTCTGCCCTTTGTTGTCCCTGTAAAGAAATATTGCAGAAAAAGTGTTCATGTTGAGGCACTGGTTCACTGCAATTACTGCATATCATCACACTGAAATTTTACTTTTACTAAAGTTGCCTATACGCTTTTTCCATACCTGCAGGCTGGATCTGCTCCTGTGTCCAGCAGCAGCCTGACCACTGCCTTTTGTGCAGCTGCTGATGCAACATGCAGCAAAGTGAACCCAGACACATCTATGGGGTTATTAAGCAGAGGCAGAGGACTTGGTGCATCAGAAGGGTTAGTCTCAGACCCCTCTTGGCTCTCTGCCATTGCTTGAGGTAGCTCAAGGAGTCTATGTAGAGAGTCCACATCCCCAACCTTGCAGGCTGTAAAGAGGGCATCCCTGAGGCCATACTCCCATGACTCATCAGCAGTTTCTATAACAGCAAAGAAGGGAAAATAATGAGTTTTGAGACTGACAAACAGGTGCAATATAACAATAGCGAGAAAGAAGCCCTTACTCACCATTCAGTTGTTTTTTACTCTGTGCTTTCCTCCTCGTCTTGTTCTTTGATTGCATCTCTTTAGAGGCATCTCCTGCTGGTCCAACCTCCAGCACCACCTCTTCTTGATTGTCTGCTTCTGTGTTACTCAAATCTGTCATGGATGGATATGAAATCTTATAAACCTTGCAGAACTTTTTTGTTATAAATAAGCATTTTGGGGGTTTCTATAAAGTCCCAAAGATCTTATTTCTTCTCTGAGGAGCAAGGAGCAAGGAGGCTACCAAGAAGAACTTCAACAATGAGTGCATCCTTTGGTGGAAGGCTATTACAGATTGACATGCTCCTTTATCGGAAATCAGTTTGTGATTGGATGCTTCACGTGAAGGATCTAAGGAAAGGATGCGTCAGGGCAGTTACAATGCGTTTCCTTGTTCTACCCTCCTTGCACTTTGTCCGTGCATCTTACATGGATGGGACTAAGATGCAAGGAAAAGACACAACTGAAGGAAACGTGGACACAACTGGGATCCATGTCATGAGTAAGGATACACCAGAACATCCTTTGCAGAAGTCTTTTTAGGACTGACACACCTCTTTATGGGAAATCAATTGATGACTGGATGCTTCAGTTGAAGGATCACAGGAAAGGAATGTACTCCTACCCTCGTTTTGCATTTTGCCATCCTCCTTTTTCCTTCTCCTTCTTCTCCTATGTCTGGAGGAATGGATTTCAAACTCTCTGAGGTCCAGGGTTCCTAATGTCATCTCCACCATCTCCAGCTGGATCTCTCCATCCTCTTTCTCATCTGAGCTGTCATGGTTTTCTTCTGCTGATGCCAAACAGAAAGGACGTGGACTGTTATATCACATTTCACAGTAAATCATCTTTGTGTTGAAACAGCAATATGAACCTAATTTTAAGAAGCAATATGTTGCTGTGATATTTTATCTGCAGAATGAAATGGAGTGTTAAGTCCTCAGTGTACATTTGAATGTCTTAAACTTACCTTTCTCTTGATCAGTGTTTATTTGTGCTGTAGGCTTGACAGTTTTTGTCCATGACTTTTTAGATGGAATAAGAACTGCAGACATGTCTGTGTCTCCTCCTGTATTAAGACAATTTTGATTATACCCTGGCTGTATGACAATAAGCAGAAAATATGTTATTACTCCAGGTATGTAATTCAGCTTACCGTAAACATGTATAGTGGAGAGCACGTTGTGTACCCGCTGTACCTCTCGAAATGTTGCCCTGCGTGTGGCGAAGGGAAGTGTACGGATCCTGGGATCTTTTTTGTCAAGAGGAGCTGCCCGGCCACCAAAAAAGATGGTCTTGTTGTAGCTAGGGGCCCGTACAAATACGCCAGAGGCCTCCATCAAGTACTCAGCCCAGGTTACCAGAAGATCCTGAATGTCCTGCATAAAGGTTACAGAAATTTGCATATGAATAAAGTGCGTGAGCTTACACCTCACCTTATGAATAAGATGCAGTGACAAGACAGACTTAGGAAGAATTCAATCACACCCCAAAGACCAAATACTTTTACAACATTTTACATGAACTTTTTTCAGAACACTGCTTAATTAAAGTCTGTAACAATAATAACACGAACAGCATCCGTTTAAAATCACAATTTCTGGACTCTTTTTTTTTTTTTTTGAGTTGTCTCCAGACAATAAAGCAATTGCTTGCTCAAATTTGCTTTTTAGAAAAAGCAACCCTTACAAGAAGAACACAACTGTTTTAGAGACAGTTTCACAGACCTGTCTGTGGATGCATGAGCACACTTGTGAGAGCAAAAAACCCCTTTGTCAGAGCAAGATGTACATCCTAACAGAAACTTTAAATGGTACTAAAGAAAAATGTATGCAATTCACCAGAAAGCCCTCACCAGGGTTATGTGGATCATTGTTGGCCACATTTAATGACTCTGCCTTCAACAGTAGCTTACTTTGTTTAAGCTTCCAAAATAAAATAGCTATCAATGGAAAGGTGTCGTTAAATAGACTGTAATCTTACCTTGACTAGCGCTGCCTCATTGTATCGCCTCAGAGCAGCTCCCGCAGATTTTGGTGTGTGACTGCGGTTCTGAGAATCTCTGAGTCCCTGAGCAGTGCCTCGCTTTGCTCGCACAGTGTATCGATGGAAAGTCTTGTGCTGAAGGACTTCTTTTCTGTAACACAAAAAAGCCATAACCAACTGCTGGTAACAAATGAGCAAAAAGCAACTGCACTAAACTGTCCACTTACCCTTGGAATACAGCACCAGCAAAGTGGCCTCCGCCTGTCATGAGAATGACCCACACAGTCTTTTTACTTATGGCCATTAGGGAGGAGCCTGCATCTAGCTCATCATTTGACTGAAATATTAAAAGGAACAAAACAGAAAATTTGCATAAACAAAGGTGTGCTAAAATACAGCTTAGACACTGTGCTGTACCTGCTGAGCCTCACCTTCCCCTGCAGAATGCAGCGGTAGACTGACAGCCACTGTCCTGCAGAATTCTGGAAAACCACTTTGCTGGACAGCCGACCAGTGAGTAAACTGGTTTCAGATGTGCTTTCATTATCTGTGACAATGACATTACTACTTGCTCCACCATCGCTATCAGAGTCTTCATCCCCTGAATCTGAGCCTGAGATGCTTGACATGTCTCCTATAAAGTGATAACAAAAATTAACTGTTAACAATCACTGTAGCTGGCTTTTTCCCTGCTACATGTGCAGGGCTTCCTCACCAGCTCCAGTTTTTCTCTCAAACTCCTCCGCTGTGACTGGAGGCAATCCTGCCATTTTTTGTCTCAAGTTGAAGCGATGCCAATCGAGCTTGTAGTGCTCCATCTGAAATGTAAAGAAATGGTAACCCAACCCCACAGCTATGACCAGTCTTCATCACATCAACAGATCTTTGTTAATCTAACAGCAGTGCATGAAGCTTCAAGATTACCTGCTCCTCACGATTAATGAAGGGGCATCTGCAGGCTGAGCAGACCAACTTGTCTGACACCTCTCTAGCCAGGCTGCACTCCCGCTGTTGGTCCTCCTCTGAGCATTTGTCTTCTAACCCAGTGTAGAAGGCTAGGTTTAAGACAGGCAAAATTTAAGGCTACTGTCTTTATTACAGCCACGAACCTACAGTTACAATTCATACGTACCGTGTGAGGTTGGATCAGTGTTTAAAGCCTGTTTCAGGACAGGGTTCACTTCTCTCAGTCCAATCAAAGCCTCATCATTTGGGCTCAAATCAAAGATGGAGCGGTACTCGGCACAAGTCGTCATGGTCATAGTTGGGCTTGTTTACCTTCTAACCTGTTTAGGCATTTAACCAGAAAAACCTACTGTAGGTTTAGAGTTATCGAAAATAATGTCTGTTCGTAAATATCCACAACAATTAACTTCACCAGTCTGACAGCACTGCTGTCATGAGCAAGTGAACGTGACCATAACTGTTCTTTGAATGACACGTTTAGTAACAGAGACGATAGAAGCTATTGCCTTGTTAACAGGCTGAGCTGCTTTCTCTCTTCTGTATCGGGTCGCTATGTACATCACAACTAATATAATTTGAAACTAACTAACTTAAAATAGCCACTTACCACAAATACATGACTCACTAGGCTGGACTCAAACGCTAACATTACGCTACTTCTACGTTCCCCCTGACGTACTACGGAAGCCCCAACGCGTCAAGAATGTGTTAATAAAATAGGCGTTCGGGCTGCAAGCTAGACCGCACTTCTTTCAGCAATGAATGTACGTTAGGTTTTAATGTCTTTTCGTATATACATATAAAGTATACTTTATTATACTTTAGAGGGGAATACCGCACACTTCACTTTAATCCATTTTACTTCACGGGTTTATTATGGTGTCCCAGGAGAGATTTCAACATAAAACATTATGTCTGTGTACTGTACATAAGAGAACAACTTTTTCACTACAATAAGTTGCATTGATTTTTTATCTCCAATTTGTGTTTTATAGGCTTTTAAGTTGAACTTTCCCAATCAATTATTATAGTGTTTTCATTTGGGCTGTTTAGTTGCTGTTTTTTCATTTGCCTTTATAAAAATAAAGCGTGTCAGGTTCATACAACTGTATATAGTCTGTGTGTACACAAGTACATGCCCCTACTGCAGCGTAAGCATATTCAGTGATAACTTTGCAAAAAAAAATCCTTGTCTGAAACAAATAGGGAGTTTCTGATATATCACAATGCCAGTAGATGTCAGTATTATAATATAACCAGATGTATCAGCCAAGCCAGTGCAGCTCTGTTTAGAGAAAGTATATTTAAGCCCCTTTTATCTGCTGAGCAAGCAGAATACTGCAAAGGGGGGTTGTCAGTGAAACTGAATTGATGCAAAGAAAATTAAAATGTTATTTACATGTGTCTGAAATATCAACAAACTTAAGGTAAAAAGTTAAAAGTGCAATATTTTTCTCTGTAATGTAAGAAAGACCATATGTAGTCTCATATGCTATAGTCTCATATGAAAAAAAAAACACTCAAGTTGACAAACTAGCTGGATGGCCTGCTAATATGAACAATTGTGTGTAATCACAGTCCTTGACTAAATTTAATTTGTACTAAGGCTGGACTGTTAAGTACAAGTACTTTGAGGACAGAATCAAATAAAAAAATTTATTAAGTGGAACAAAATACACAAGTAATTATATACACTGGATGAAATTTAAAATACAATGTTCCAGAAATCTAAAAAACAATCTTCAAATAATCCATTCACTTGAGTTTGCTCTGCTTTCGCTTTGATTTACTGGTTGGCGCGTGGATCAAACTTTGTGCTGTTGGCAAAGACAGACAGCATATTACAAATTGTTTCAAATGCGAGTTTAGGATGTGTAGACACCAACACATCACCCTTACCAGCCATATTACAAGCCTTGGCCTCTGCAAGATGTTGTTTCACTTCCAGAATCTTAGCAGTGAGAATTTTTGCCTTACTTGTGAATTGCTCACTCATTTTCTGTAAATTGCTCCTTTGGCTTCTGAAAGATAATGAATGTACGGTGCAGGTCTGAACATTTATGTCTTCTTTGTCTATGTACACAGCACATCACAATACCTGTCTGCAGAATCTCGACCATTCAGTTGTTCCATAAGGAGCTTTTCCTCCTGCAGCAGAGAACCGAGTTGCTGTAATGCATTAACAACTTTACTGTTCTCCATCAACAACTCCACCCTCCGGTCAGTTTCCTTGGTGCTGCAAGTGAGTGCAGAACTCATTAGACATTTATCAACTGCACAAAAGTTGACATGTTTCAGTGTCGCACTCTGCCATACATGTATGATTAATTGTTTGCATAAAAACCTGATGAGTAACAGGTCTGGATCATTGACTGTATGGTCTGGATTTGAAATTACAACCTTACTGGTAAACATATCACCAGCAATATAGGTGACATATATGTATGATCACACTCAATTAACAAATAAATCAACTTTAACAGGGCTGTGACAGAACATGCAATGGAGCCCCGGAACATGGCAGTGATTTAAGATAGCTGTATACAGAATCTTTAGCAGCTCATCATTAATGAAAATCACATATTAGTAGATAAGTAGCCACAGTAATAGCTGGATGGAAATAAGAAAGCCTAGAGGTTACAGCTTTCTTCCAAAAGCACAAATACAAAAATAATAAGTAGAGTAATAGTAAAGGAGAATAATGTAGTAGCGAAGTAATAGAATAATGAGTAAAGTTGTTCTTTACTTTAGCTCATGACTGGACCTTTATAGTTTACTTATATCAAGCTCATTTGTTATGAATGTCAATCAAACAGATTTACGGGGGAGGCGACAGTGCGGTGGATAGAGCAGTCGTCTCCCAAGGTTGGAGGTTCGAATCTCAGTGCCTGCAGTCCACATGTCGAAGTGTCCTTGGGCAGACACTGAACCCCACCGTCGCCCCCGATGGTTAGAGCCGTCGGCTGAGTTGGCGCCGCAGACAAATTCCTTGTGTGTAATGGCCATAATGGCCAAGTGGCCAATAAAGGTGATTATCCATATCCTACTTTTTCAGGACGATCATAAACAACCACTATGTTACGTGATGACGTCACGGAGCTACAGGTTGAGATAAACCTTTTTTTAAATTTTACTTTAAACCCGAAATAGTAAATTTAACTGAATGTGACCACATCAACTGTACCAAAGAGTCGTCTCCTCCTCAACAAGCAGTCTTTGCTGCCGGGTCTCCTCCAGTTTGCGAATGTTTTCGTGGATAGCATGCTGCAGCTCGTTGACCCGCTTCTGCAGTTTAACAAGAGGAATTATTATACAAGTAACTTAGTTTGCTCAGAAAGACTTAACATTCGCTCTAGCTAAAATTAACGAGCTGTCAGAGCATTTTCTTTGCATTAATGTAATTTGCCTTGCTGATTTGTATTTAGTATTAACAAACAGTTGTAGCCACCGACACCCAACGTGTATGGCAAATTTAGCTAGCTAGCGTTAGTTAGTTGGTTAATGTTAACAATTCAGCGTCAACCTACCATATAATCCTCATTTTGTTTTACAAACGTAGGGCAAGAAAATGCAGTCATGATATAGTGTCTTTATAAATTTCGCTTTCAGGATTTGTTGACCTGACTAACTGAGATCCAGCCACATATAAAGATGGTTTGTCTCAGTGTCGTCAGCTTTATAGGAGGTACTTCCGGTTACTTTGTCAGAGCCCGGATAGCTCAGTCGGTAGAGCATCAGACTTTTAATCTGAGGGTCCAGGGTTCAAGTCCCTGTTCGGGCGGTGCTCTTTTTCTGTTGTGATTTTTCCAGAACACACTAAAGCTGAGGATATGGTATTCAAAGTTGTGTTTTACGTCAGTAACTTCTCATCTCATCTTTGCTTCATAACACTGCATGTTAACTGTTGGTAAGTTTAGTCATGGTAGAAAGAAAACAACACTCCTGGTAAATGTATAAGACAGCTAAAGTCTAAAATTGCCATAAACCTTCTCCAAACATTAGACCATTTATTTTAAAGATAGTAATTGAAGTGGAGTTGTCATTACACATAGTGAGACCTCACATTATCCTACTGTTGGCGTTGTTGTTTATGAAAAAATCTAACTAATTTGGGGATTATATTCACTCATAAACAAGTAACTCAACCCTGTAATTTATGTGAGATAATCATGTGTATTATCTCAGGACAGTGATTGGGAACACCTATAAAGCTTGGTGTTAGTGCAGGTAAAATGGCAACACTGAAGACATATCTGACCAGCACAGATGGAGAAGGTTATCCTCTTGTGTGTGCTTTCCATCTGTCTCTCACCCGTACATACTCAGGTAAATATGCTTGGAATCATTGGAAACTATGATTTTAATAACTTCAACAACAGACTGCAACAGAATTGCAACCAATTTTGTCTTTTTTGCAGAAATTTTTCTTCAGCCCAAAATGGGGCCCCATTGGCTATAAAGGTAATACAAATTGAATTTGTTATCAGTGTTAATGTGTGGCTACAACAAAGGTGCACACACACTTACCAAAATCTCTTTTTTTTCAAGTGCACGAAGAGCGTGATGGTGGGACAGCAATGGATGAAATCATTAAAGCTAATGAGTTCCATGGTAAGTTGCACACAATTTACTTTTGTAGTTCATGCAACATACTATAACAAACCATCTCCTGTTGTCCAATTCAAGAATGTTTTAATTTCCCCCGATTTCTACCTCAGCTTCCCAAATGCTAGATGGCACTACCAGTCTCAGAGAGGGAGACATTGCTGTGTCTTCTGGAAGGCGCTCCAAAGTCTGCTTTGCACGGAGCTGCCTCTGGTCCAAATCAGTGGATGGACATGTCTACATTGCATACAGCCTCTCACCTGAGTACTGTATGTTACTGTATTTTAATATGTGTAAATAAATGCAATCCATCATAGTCTGATATTTTTTGTTATGCACCAAGTTTGTATTCAGCTTTGTATTTGTGCCTTGTTTACTCTGTTTAAACAACTGAATAGCTGAAACTGAGACAAAGCTGATAAAGCAAGGAATGGAGAACATAGAGAAAGGTACCTGTGTGCGGTTTGTTCCGTGGACTCACCAGCAAGACTACATTGACATCCAGCCAAAGTCTGGGTGAGTGCCTTTCTGTGGAAAGTTTGATTCAGTAATGTGGCAGTCTTCATTTTTAAAATCTTACTCCTTAGGGAAAATGTTTTTATTTGTGGAAGAGATGTGAAATGCGGAGTTGTGGTTTTAGACATGAAGAAGTGTTTTTTTCAAATCATATGTTTTGTGTCTGGGTGTGTGTATAAATCCAGGTGTTGGTCCTACCTTGGTGCACGTGGTGGAAGACAGACCGTATCTCTCCAGAACCCTGACTGCCTCCAAGTTGGAGTGATTTCCCACGAATTCATGCACACCTTGGGCTTTGTGCACGAGCAGTCCCGCTTTGACCGGGACAACTATGTCACCATCATGTGGCCAAACATCTGGAGGGGTAATTTCAAACAGACTGTATTTCTATACCTATTTTCAAAACAAAGATGTAAAATACCTTACACTGTATGACAAAACAACAAAAATATCTGAACAAATGCTTAAGTATAAAAATGTCTTCCAATTACCAACAGATCGTGTGAGGAACTTTGAAAAATTCAGGACTGACATTCTGGACCTACCATATGACTACGGCTCAATTATGCACTTTGGGATGTAAGTAATGTAACATTGATATAAGTCAGTGAATCCTCTTCAGGTATTATACTGTAATGTGTATATATGTGTTTAGGTATGCCTACTCTCAGAATGGGCAGCCAACCATCAGTCCTAAGAACAAGGACATAAAGCTGGGCCAGGCATCAACTCTCAGTCGCATTGACAGGCTGAAAATCAACAAACTTTACAAATGTGGTTGGTACCAATCATTTTAAACTATCTTCCACTGATTATTTCTGTATTGCAGAATACTAGAGATGCCCCCATGTTTGATTCATTTCTGTCTTTCATCACAGGTGACGATGATGATTACTGACTAAATTGAAGTGGAGGAATGTTTTGCATACTAATATATTCAACAGATATTAACTCATGAAAACAATTTCAATAAAGATTGATTCAAGCTTTCTGTCAGCATTTCTTCTGTGTGCATGCAGTCATGTGTGTTTAGGGTATGTTTCTTATGTTGACAAGGTTGAAAACTGAACAGGGGGGTAACATTTTGCTTTAGTAAAAAGAAAGAATGGGTTCCTGTGATAAATATACCTTGGTTTAAAGCTGTTATTTAATTATTAAGTACTTTCATATAACTATAACTATATAGTACTTTCATGCACCAAGAACAGATTATTTCAATGTGAAGAAAATGTGATCCTACTTAGGACATGCGTAGTAAAATAAAGTCTTTAAAGAAATAAAGTAAGAGTTATGTGATGACATTAAATGAGAAATAAAGGCGAAATCTGAAATTTGCTTTAATTGAAAGCTCATTTCTTCTCACTAGCATTTGACTTTAGGTAAAAGACTTGTGCATCTTCTGGCAGGGCTTATAATTTATTTATATTGTTTTATATCTCTTTTATTATGCTTTGCTATGATTGTGAGTGATACAGTCAGAGAAAAAAATATTTGAACCCCAGCTGATTTTGTAAGTTTGCCCACTAACAAAGAAATGACAGTCTACAGTTTCAATGGTAGGTTTATTTGAACAGTGAGAGACACAACAATAACAAAAAAATCCAGAAAAATGCATTACAAAAAAAGTTATGAAGTAATTTGCATTTTCATGAATGAAATAAGTATTTGATCCCCTATCAGTCAGCAAGATCTCTGGCTCCCAGGTGTATTTTATACAGGTAACGAGCTGACATTGGGAGCCCTCTCAGCTCGTTACCTGTATAAAAGAGACCTGTCCACAGAAGCAATCAATCAATCCAGATTCCAAACTCTTCACCATGGCCAAGACCAAAGAGCTTTCCAAGGATGTCAGGGACAAGATTGTGGACCTACACAAGGCTGGAATGGGCTACAAGACCATTGCCAAGCAGCTGGGTGAGAAGGTGACAACAGTTGGTGCGATTATTCGCAAATGGAAGAAACATAAATTAACTGCCAATCTCCCTCGGTCTGGAGCTCCATGCAAGATCTCACCTCGTGGAGTTTCAATGATAATGAGAACGGTGAGGAAATCAGCCCAGAACTACTCGGGAGGAACTTGTCAATGATCTCAAGGCAGCTGGGACCAGAGTCACCAAAAAAACAGTTGGTAACACACTACGCCATGAAGGACTGAAATCCTGCTGTGCCCACAAGGTCC